TGTGAAGAGCTGACTCATTGGAAAAGACCTGATGCTGGGAAAGATTGAAGGCAGGAGGAGAAGGGGACGACAGAGGATGAGACGGTTGGATGGCATCACCAACGTGATGGACGTGAGTCTGAGCAAGCTCTGGGAGTTGGTGATGGACAGGGAGGCCTGGCCTGCTGCAGTCCACTGGGTCACAAAGAGTCAGACACGACTGAGCGACTGTACTGAACTGAAGGTGAGGTGACTCTGTGTGGGGGGAGGGATGCCATCATCTCTACTTTGTAGCTGGGGAAGCTGAAGTGGAGAGAGATTCAATGATTTGTTTAAGGTCACCTGACTGGTGTGGAGCAGAGATGGGATTTGAAGGACTTGGGTTCCACAGAGCACATGCTAATCACTCTGACAAGTGGCCTTCATTATTTTTTTTTTCTTTTTTTTTCTTTTTTTAATTAATTAATTTATTTATTTTTATCACAACCATAGTGTATCTTTTTTTTTTGTTTTTACATGTATTCCCCATCCCGGTCCCCCCTCCCACCTCCCTCTCCACCCAATCCCTCTGGGTCTTCCCAGTGCACCAGGCCCGAGCACTTGTCTCATGCACCCAACCTGGGCTGGTGAACTGTTTCACCCTAGATAATATACGTGTTTCAATGCTGTTCTCTTGAAACATCCCACCCTCGCCTTCTCCCAGAGTCCACAAGTCTGTTCTATACATCTGCGTCTCTTTTTCTGTTTTGCACATAGGGTTATCGTTACCATCTTTCTAAATTCCATATATATGTGTTAGTATACTGTAATGTTCTTTATCTTTCTGGCTTACTTCGCTCTGTATAATGGGCTCCAGTTTCATCCATCTCATTAGAACTGATTCAAATGAATTCTTTTTAATGGCTGAGTAATATTCCATGGTGTATATGTACCACAGCTTCCTCATCCATTCATCTGCTGATGGGCATCTAGGTTGCTTCCATGTCCTGGCTATTATAAACAGTGCTGCGATGAACATTGGGGTACACGTGTCTCTTTCAGATCTGGTTTCAAATGGCCTTCATTAAAGGGCTGCAGAGAATATGTGAAGCTGTTGATATAGAACACAGCCACAGAAGAATAAAGTGATATTTTAATAGTTTCCATGTTGTCTAAATGCAGCAAATATGATATCCTTGCTATTGGTGATGATGAAGTCAATAGAACAGGGAACCTGAGAGCAAAACTGATTAAAGTAGGTCCCAGGAAATGTAAAATATATCAGGCATGATGTGAGTTCCTCAGAATCTACAAGGGTAACCCATAGTTTAAAATTATTGCAAGCTCCTCCACCAAAAGTGGGATATAGAACAACAAAATTTCTTGTGTAAAGTGTATTGGTAAAATACAAGAATTCAAAAGCTGTCAACTGAGCAAATGCCTCTGTTCATTGCTTTCACTGTTTTTTTAGTTAAAGTCTTCAGTTTGTAAAATTTCTTCTATGGTATCATCACAAAAGGCCTATGACACAATTTTGTCATAACTGGATTTGTGCCCTTTGGATTTCTTATCCATAGGGGTGTGTGTGTGTGTGTGTGTGTGTGTGTGTGTGTGCGCGCGCGCGCACACGCACGTACACATACACACCTGCCATCTGATGGTCAGCATACCTTTATTATCAAGCTATCTTTCTCCCTTTGGTTCGACAAGTTTCTTCTTTTTTCAGATTCTTTTTCCTTATAACTGTGCACCTCCCTCCTCAGATCTTTCCTTCATAATTTCTAGATTTCTTGATTCTTTCATTCCTTTGGCCCAAAAGGCTGACAGTGTCCTCAGCAGATCCTGAAGGACTTATAAGTCTCCCTTTTCTAAGACACTTCTTATTTCACTCTTACCTCTATTTACCACAGGATTGACAACTAATTCACAAAACACGATTGTTACAGTTAATCAAGAAGAGGGGACAATCTTCAAAGGGATTATTATTAAGGGCCCAAGTTTGACTCAACTTCAAGTATGTTTGGCATCACAGCCAGAGGTAGGTGGAAGGCAATAGTCATATGTGATGGACATGTGGCACACTCCAGAACAAGACTCTCATCCTTTTTTTCCTTTATCCCTCACTTCTCCTACACAAGAATTATTCATTAGTAGCACAATATTTTTGGCTTCCCAGGTGGCTCAGTAGTAAAGAATTGCCTGCAGTGCAGGAGATGCAGGAGATGTGGGTTCGATCTCCAGGTTGGGAAGATCCTCTGGAGAAGGGAATGGCAACCCACTCCAGTATTCTTGCCTGGAACACTCCATGGACAGAGGAGCCTGGAGGGCTGCAGTCGATGGATCACAGAATCAGACATGATTGAGCAACTAAGCACACAGCACTATATTTAAATTTAACATTATATAAAATTTCAATTTGAGCTCAGTTGATATTTGCGATCAACTAGCTAACTCTGGCTATTCAGACATTATCCACTAAATGTATCTTGGGGAGGAAGCAAGATTATTCTTGGAAGCAGATTATTCTTGTTAACCGTATAGTTAACAGCTGTTATGACATGGGCACACCCAATTAGAAGATGCCCTTGTAGTGCCAGGCAGGGCTTAAGGGCTCAAACCTATTAGTTGCTGAATTGTGGGTAAGTTGGCAGGTCACAGGAAAGTGGCCAGGGTGGGGCTGATTGAATTTGGGGAGCTCAGGGCATAGCTTTTATCTACCAGTTCAGGAGTATTTCAGCAACCATTACAGCCCCATCAGTGGCTCCTGCTGAGTACCAGCCTGCACTAAGGTTGTGCTCTAGCTGTAATAGCTGGGACCTCTGGAATAGTATGTGTTTAACATGAAAAAGAAAGATTAATTTGCATGAAAAATCATATCACAGGTGTTTCTTAGTTTGCTAGATTATAATCTGCAATAGTTTCTCAATCTTATCATGGTTACCACGTACAGGTTAAGCCAGTATGACCTTCAAGACTGTCTACCAAACTTGACTATATTTGACTGAAGGTATTGATTGGAAGAAGAATTGATGCTTTTGAATTGTGGTGCTGGAGAAGTCTCTTGAGAGTCCCTTGGACTGCAAGGAGATCAAACTGGTTGATCCTAAAGGAAATCAACCATGAATATTCATTGGAAGGATTGTTGCTGAAGCTGAAGTTCCAATGCTTTGGCCATCTATGCAAAGAGCTGACTCAATGGAAAATACCCTAATGCTGGGAAAGATTGAAGGCAGGAGGAGAAGTGGGCAGAAGGGGCTGGGATGGTTAGATAGCATCACTGGCTCAATGGACATGAATCTGAGCAAACTCTGGGAGATAGTGGAGGACAGAGGAGCCTGGTGTGCTATAGTCCATGGGGTCCCAAAGAATTGGACACAACTTAACAACCGAACAACAACAACTGATTGGGAGAGAAGTGGGACATACCCCACTTGTGGCAGCTGTTACCACCTGTGGACCCTTGTCATGTTCAGGTGGCTTTTCTGTGTGGTACAGGCTGCTCCCTTGGTACAATACCCCTTGAGGCCACATGGCACGTGATCCTGCCGCCTTCTCCCCACATGCATATTCAGAGCTCCAACTCTTCCCTAGGACTGACTCAGCTTCTATTTCCAAAGTAGGGATGTAAGATCAAGGCAGGCTCCCCAAGGCATTCCAGGAATCTTCGGGTTAGCACTTTCGGCAGACTGCTGAAGGCCATGGACCCCTTTACAGAACAAGGTTTTTAAATGCGTAAAATAAAATACATAGGAATATAAAGGAAACCAATGCTAAACATTAAGAAGGAAATAATATTAGTTAAAGGATTAATGAAAATAAAAATGTAAATTTTGTTGTCATCCAAATTCACAGTAACCTGAATTCTCTTTCCTCCTGGGTTAAGAACCCCTGCAGGATAAAGTCACCCCAGGGGTCAATATCTCATTAGAGGCCCCACCCCTTGTGCTGGAGGCTGGAGCCTTTAGGCCACCCACGCTGATCTCAGCTCAGTCTCTAGGCAGGGAAATTCTCCTCCCAACTAGTTCTGGGAATTTGGGGCAGGAAGGAAGGGCTCCTGAGCGCCTGGGTGCCACTTTAAATAACTCTTCCTTCACTGAAGAGGACCTTCTCAGCCTGGGAATACCTAGAAATCAAGTTTTAAGTTGCCTACACCAGTGTGACTTTTCCCACAAACTCTCCTTTCCACCTGGACGCAGATCCCTGGAGGCACTGGGGCAAGGCTGAGCTTCAGTTTTCTCATCTGCAAAAAGAAAATACTCACCTCATAGGATTGCTAGGATCATGAAATGAGATAATAGCTGTGCGTTGTCAATTACACATCCCTCTTAATATCTGTGCTGTTATCGTTTTTTGACGTTAGGTCTTGAGGACCGAGGACAATCTAAACAGCTCCAGTCCCCAAGTACCCGGCCCGCCTTAAGCGCTCCATTAACACTTGTGGAATGAATGAACGCAGCCTTTGCACGTGGGTCGGCGAGCACCAGGGGCTCCCGGCCATTAAGGCGGGCGCATCACCACCACTTGTTTTCAGAACAGGTAGTAAACGCCTTTCCGGCTGTGTACCGAACGGCAACCACAATTCAAGCGCTTTACTTCAGGAGGACCCGCAGGCTGGGACTGCCGGGCCCGCAGCTCGCCTCCAGGTCTCCCCCGCGGCTCCCCGACCAGGTGTGGGGGTGGCGGGGGCGGCGCGGAAGGGCAGCGCCGGGTCGCACCGCAGCCGGGCGGGCCGCAAAGGTGCCGGCGGCGGGCTCTCGAGGAGGGGCCAGGGGGTGGGGAGGGCCGGGGCGGGGCCGGCGTCCTCGTCACTTGATAAAACGCCTGCGAGTCTCCAGAGAACAACGGGCTCATTCAGTGGTCGGGAGCTGCCCGCGAGGGGGAGCGGCCAGGCGGAGAGTGCGACTCGTCCCGGGGGTGGGGCCGGGCGCGGCGGCGAGAGGAGACCGAGGTGGCCGCGGCGGCAGCGGCGCTGTAGCCCCGAACCCGGCCCGAAGCGCAGGGCGGGCGCGCAGTTTCCCGCTCCCCTCCCGGTGCGCCGGCCCATGGCGGCCGCGGGGCGGCTGTGGCTGCTTTACCTGTCGGTGGGGCTCCTGCCGCGGCTAGGCACCGCCTTCAACTTGGACACCCGCGAGGACAATGTGATCGAGAAAACCGGGGATTCCGGGAGCCTCTTCGGCTTCTCGCTGGCGATGCACTGGCAGCTGCAGCCTGAGGACAAGCGGCTGTGAGTTCCCGACTCTGCCCACCCCACCCGGGCCCCGGCCCACGCGCGAACCCGGTCGAAGGCGCTCCGCGTTCCCGCCGGCCGGCCCTGCTGGGTCCGGCACTCCGCAGGCTCCGCGGGGAGCGGGGCCCGGCGCCCCGCGCGCGCTCCCCTCCGGCCCCGCCTGGCGCGGCGCCTTCCCCAGTTCAGCCCCGGAAAGAACCCGGGGGCCGACTTTGCACACCGCGGCCCCGGTGCCAGGCGGGGCTGTCCTCAGACCCGGGAGAGTTTACTTTTTTTTTTTTAAAAAACAAAGTGCTTTCCGGCGATCCTTCCCTCCGGGCATGTTTGCTGGGAACCCGGCAGGTGGCACGCTTTGCTGAGCTTCACGTGTGTGTTGAGCGGGGGGTGACTTGGGTTGGAGGGGGGTCGCTGTTTCGCTGCGGTGAGATGACTGAGAGGGTCGTTAGGGAGATCCAGGCCTTTCCCAAACTCACAGAGAACCCCCCGGCAGACTCGCGCGCCTCGCAGAAGTTGGAAAGCCACCTTTCATCACGTCCTGCGAGGCTTTCCCCGAAGGGCGGGTTCCCCGGTAGGCGAGACTTTTACACGCCTCCGCCGCTTTTAAAAAGATGGCACCAACCAAGCACCTGTTCGGCAGAACTAGATCAGCTGAGAAAACAAGACCCTGTTAGCGGTGTGGCCGACCCCCCGCCCCCACCCCGCACCAGCCACAAAGCGTCCGGCGCCACCCGAGACCCGGGCCCCAGCCCTCGGAGGCCCTGCCGAGGGGTTAAAGCAAAATGTCCGATCTAGGTTGGGGGCTTTGCAAACGAGGTCTGGAAGTGACAACCCCCGACCCCCCCAGCACCGCAGCACAGCGGTGCTCCTCCGGGGAGAAAGTGGAGGCCGGTGCTCGTAGCTTCTCCTTTTCTTTCTTAGACAGTGTTTGGTTCTCACATGATCAAACTGTTTAGGCAGGAGAGGGTATTTGGGAGCTTAGTGGCCTTAATCGCTGTGGGGCCGCATTCTTGATCTGGGCTACCGAAAAATAAACTCACAAAAGGTTACCCACCTCCCCCCGCCAGCCCTTCGGTTGAGCTGAGGTCCTTCCAGGACCAACAGACCAAAGAATGCAAAGTACACCCACAGAGGAGAGGACGTTAGGAGAGGGAAATGGGGTTTTAGGGCCGCAGGGAACATCTTGATTTCAGTAATTAACAACTTCGGAATTGGTGAAGGTTCTAGGTGCCTGAATCTTAAAGTCAGATTTTTCTAATAATACCTACCAGTGAAGCAAAGAAATTAGTAGGGGGTGGGAAGGCCGAGGGGTGGTCTGCAGGCCTGAGCAGCTGCTTATATTCTGTTTTCTCTCAGCAGAAATAATTGTGATGCTGTAAATTTGAAATGAAAAGTGGTGTCTGTTAATTCAGTTAATGGATGATGTTTGGTGTCTCTGAGTACCTGAATGTGTAGATGAGCATTCACCTATATGGAGAATGAACTTGTTAGTGCAGAAATGACCACGGGCCAGCAGAGGGAATATATTCTCTTTGGCGTGCTCTGCACCGATCCTCTACTGAAGCTGGTGGTTTCCTTGAAACACTGGTTCAAGCAAACATTGTGAAGGGGAAGTACTGGGGCGGAAAGTTATCTATGGAGGTGGAGATTTGCAAAAGGTAGTTTCAGCCAGGATCTCTGTTGTCACCAAGGTTAGCGGTGTGCTTGCTCAAACTTGTTCTGCTTGGTGGGCTTCTCTGCTGTTAGACCTGCTGCAGGTATGTAAGAGGAAGCCTGTGTTTGGGGGCTGATGCCTGCTGGAAATGCTCTTCTTAGGGACTGACAGAGAAGAGTGGCCCACTTTAAGGAAACTGCATCTTTCTTTGGACCTGAGAGTGTGCCCGCTCTAGGGGGCTGTGATTTATGTCAAGTGCCACGCCCCCATCTTCTTTTGGTAAAGTAATCTAGCAACACGCCTCACCCAGGAGAACCAGTACACACAGGCCATACCCATATTAGTTAATATCACCTTTGTCAGTAAAGGATGTGGGTGTAAAGTAACAGCCAGTGAGGTTGAGACCCCACAGCTTGTGGGCCAGCTTCCTAAACTCTGCACTTATTGGGAGTATTTCAGGGCACTGGTGAGAGAGACCTAAGCTCAAAATTCCTTCTTGGTATTTTGCAGCTGTTACTTTGAGCCTTGGTGTTTTAATCTGTAAAATGGAGCTATTACTGCTCAATAGGCTTGTTGTTAGGATTAAGAGAGAACATGCAAAGTGCCTAATTCCTGCCTGGCATGGGTATTTGCTGACTAAATGGTGGTTGTTAATGGTGATGCATTTAGAAACAGTAACTGAATTCCTCCTGTGTGCCTGCGACTCGGCAGGTGTTAAACATCCTAGGAGTCTTACTCTGCTAAAGAGTGAAGTCGAAGGTTATTGGCATTGGGTATGTTAAACTTAATCACATTTATAAACCCCATTTTCAAAGCATTTTAACTTTAATCAATCTTAGATTTACAACAAAAGTAAATTTCTCAAACAAGGGGCTTCATTGAGGTGGAAGAAGTAAAATATCAAAGATGTGTGAGCGTATCAGATGAATGCAGCATTGTGGGAACAAACCATAGATTTTTGTGGGTTTAACTTTCTACAATGCTATTTAAATATTTCATATCTTAAACTCTAAGATTTTATAACAGAATAATATTGTATATGAGAGCCTTAAAACATGTTTGTTGTTGTTGTTTAGTTACTAAGTCGTATCTGGCTCTTTCTTTGTCCTTAAGATTTTCCAGGCAAGAATACTGGAGTGGGTTGCCATTTCCTTCTCCAGGGTATCTTCCTGACCCAGGGATCAAACCCACATCTCCTGCTTGGCAGGCAGATTCTTTACGTCTGAGCCACTGGCTATTCCTAAAACTTTGGGGACTGTAAAACTGAAATAGAGATCATAAAACTTCACTGGGCTTTTTAGGCTAGATAGTAAAGAAGTTTGGCTCAGTTACTGAGGTCAGGATCTAAGGTTGAGTCACCCCAACTAGGTAGAAAGTCTGGGATGGCATCTGTTGGTATGTCCATCTTGTGAGTCAGCCCTCTTTACTCTTCTGGGAGGAGCTGAGTCTCTGTGTGATTGCAGGACAGAATCCAGAAGGAATAGATCTTTAAGTTATATCTGCGATGCTGGGCTTATCCCAATTGACATTTTCTTTCTGGGATCTTCCTGATCTCCACTGTCTTCCTAAGGCCTACTGTCGCTTCTGTTTTGACTCTTACAATGTTTGCTCTTGCTTTTTCTCACACTTGTGATGCTCTTGCTCTTAAAATCATGTTTACTGAACTAGAGATCATCTAGTCCAGCTAGCTCCCTTTATAGATGAAGAAACTAAAGCTGAAAGTTAAAGAAATGTCTATAGTCTCATGAGTGCTTAAGCAGAATCTTAACAGAATCTGGATTTGAACTTGGCATTTCTGACTCACGCTCATTTCACCTCTAAAAGGAAAAGTCAGACGTGTCCTTCAGACCTGGAGAAATTGAGTTTTGGAAATGTACTATGTTAGGTTGATTTATTAAACCGCTCCCCACGTGGGTCAGGGCTGTCTATTTAAATATCTGTGCCTGGACTCTCTTCCTATGGACACTTATTCCAGCTGGCCTTGGATCAGCTTCTGGGTCCTTCCTTCTTTGCCTGTCATTCCTTCCCCTTCTGAAAAAGCCCAGTGAGGAGCCAGCTGGGGATCAGAACTGTCCAGGATGTGTACCTAAGCACTTGCTTCCTTGCATTCATTCAGAGTGCCATGTGGCCCAGGGCCATCGTCCAGGAACTGTCTCGGTCACCTTGAGTCCCGAGAGTGGAGAAAGAGCCAAAATGGGCAGGGAGACTTAGAGGAAATCTTAGGATTCTGCAAGAAAGCAGAAATAGACAAGTTTAATTTTAACACAGGCTGGTCTCGTGAGTCCATCCAAGTCATGACTTAGGGTTTACAAAAAAAAAAAGTATTTGTGTGATATGAATAATAATGTCAGGAAAGTCAGGTGAAATGCTCATGTAAAAAAGCTTTACATTATTTTAAAGAAGCAGTTACTATGTTCTTAGTTGTATAATTCCCTATTTTAGCATAACAATATTGTTGTTGTTCAGTGGCTCTAAGTCTTATCAACTCTGTGACTCTATGCACTACAGCACGCCAGGCTCCTCTGTTCTCAACTATTGGAATTTGCTCAAATTCATGTCCATCGAGTTGGTGGTGCTGTCAGTAACATCAGGATTTAAGCTTTGTCACCAAATAGTACTGGAACTGTGATGCATGGATGCACTTAGACCTTGACTCAGCATAGGGACAGAGTAACAGGTGAATGACCTGGCACTTTCAAGGTAGATGCTGGAGACATAATGGAACATACTATCCTGTGCTTAGATGACAGGGTCAGTTTTACCTGGAACACTGGTTAGTTCCAAGTCAGTCCATCCTGAAGAACATCATCATGTTGTAAACCAGTTTACCTTTCTCCATGAAAGCCTTTTGGGCCCAACCCATGCTACATCATGTCTTCTTCCTTTGAATGTCTGTAGTCCTTCGTGTCCGGAGAAGGCAATGGCACCCCACTCCAGTACTCTTGCCTAGAAAATCCCATGGACGGAGGAGCCTGGTAGGCTGCAGTCCATGAGGTTGCTAAGAGTTGGATACGACTGAGCGACTTCACTTTCACTTTTCACTTTCATGCACTGGAGAAAGAAATGGCAACCCACTCCAGTGTTCTTGCCTGGAGAATCCCAGGGACGGGGGAGCCTGGCGGGCTGCCGTCTATGGGGTCGCACAGAGTTGGACACGACTGAAGTGACTTAGCAGCAGCAGCAGTCCTTCGTGTCACGTGCCTGACAGCTCTGATGGTTTTGTATTATTTAATTCTGTAATATTTAATTGTTGTCTGCCATTTTCAGAGTATGGGCTAATCCCGTCCAGGTGGATAATAGGTTATGTGAGGGCAAGGGTCTTAGGTTCATTTCTTTGCCTGATAGC